ATTTTGTGGAAGAGCCACACTCAAGGGGCCAAAGAGCCGCATGTGGCTCTCAAGCTGCGGTTTGCCGACCACTGGGTTAGGGGATGCTATATTATTTATTTTTACCTTACAAAAGGCATCAAATTTTTAATCACTTGGAGAAATTCTAGACAAATAATAAACAACACTAATTTCACTGATTTTAGTGGACAGGAAGAGTATAGGCTGTGAGCTATTGCTTTGTTATTTATTTCCATGGTCATGTATATATTACTATAAATTAGCTTTGAATTGTATGCCCTGGATTTACTTTATAAGGATACAGGCTACATAGGGCTTCTTCTAGGCTTTGTTCATGGACCACACACATGTTCTGTAGCTTCTGGGCCACCCCTGCCTTGCCCCCTTTGCTTCAAGGGGACTCAGAGTTAAAGAAGGGAACATCAGGCCAGATTTCTTACAGAGGAATCCACAAGATGTGATCCTTTCGGCCCCCAATAAGGGACCTTATTTAATCCCTCTGACCCCAAATGCTTTTTGGAGGATTTTGTAGTTCCTAGCCTACCCATAATTATGTCCACTTCTGTACTTCCACTATTTAGTGCGGACATATCAGTAAGGACTTGGAGATGAAGCAAGACCTAAAAGCATCATGTGTTTGTTGCTAACACAGAGATTTGTAAAGTTTAACTATAATAATTGCTATTCCTCAAAAGTTGAGGACATATGTTTGGGTTAATCAAAATACCCTGCTTCTTGACCTCATAATATTATATACTAGTTGTTTAGTTATCGCATTATGGAAGGAAGCTATGGTTTTCAAACTCAAAAAAATGTTTTGGAAATTTAGATGTTTATAAAGGGAATCTGGCTAAAGAATGTTTGTAAACTCACCAACCAAACTTCACAGAGTAAGAGAATGATGTAGTAGTAACTGGTAAAATATTCTATGGTCACTTGTGTTTTGATACAATGTACTTCAATACGATTATATGCCTATGGAATGAATACAAACTTAAGGGTGTTTTATCTGTGCCTTGTCCCTGAAGTTCATGCCTGCCCCGAGGGAAAAGTGTATTTCAACTGCAGGTTTCCTGATCCCGAATTGCCAGCTGGTGGTGTAAATTGTGAGATTACATGTGCAAACCTGGCCATGAACTTCACTTGTGCCCCATCCTCACCCTGCATAAGTGGCTGTGTTTGTGCTCCAGGGTAAGCCTCTTTTTCTTGACAATTCAGAACATTCAAGATTTAATTTTTAAAAACCACAAGAGCACTTAAAACCATAATTTACAAAAATAGCTAAAATTGTTGTTCTGGTTGACTGGTGGTTAACTAGTTGGTCTATTGTAATCGTTATTTTACATTCATGTAACATATCACATACGTTATCTGTGAGATAATACATATTACACATTAATACAACATATCTTATATAATAAAAGCATAATATGCAAATCTTCTGAATGGCAGAACAGTAGAATGACCATCCAGGACCACGCTGTGACACTCACTGGCACTAGGCCAGCCAAGGTGGGTGCCATGTGATTGGTCCGGGGCCCAGCCATTACCCCATGATCGGCCTGCAGAGGGAGGCCCATGCCACCAGCCAGTGGGGCGATCAATCAGGGGGGGGGGTCTCCACGATTGCCCCAAAGAGGGAGGCCCAGGCCACCGACCAGCAGGCCGCAGCGGGTGGGCGGGGCCTCCCTCTGTGAGGGAAGCCCAGGTCCCGGGTGCAGGAAGGAAGCCAGTGGCAGCAGCCAGGGGAAGGAAGGCCTACTCTTGCACAAATTTCATGGGGTCTCTAGTGATTAAATAATGTCACACATGTTAGGTGTACAATATTGTTAAATTAATAGAGTGTGTACAATATTACAATATTATTCAAGTGCTGAAGTATTAATATAGCATTAATTAATTTACATAATATTAAAATAACACAATGTCATTAAAGTAATACAGTGAATTGATGAGAGAACTAATTTTAGGATGGACTTAACATTTATTCCCTGATTCAACTGCAATTTTGGGAAAGTGATAGTGAACCATTCTTCATTGACTACATTTTAGTGCATATCTTTTGTATATTCTTTGGTGCTGTTACTGTTGATATTAAGTTATAATGGTGATGCCAACTGCTTTATCTAATGGATGTTACAGAAAAATGGTGTGTTGAGTCTGTATAGGACAGTAGGTAGCAGTGGGAACTCTGGCTCAGATACACCGGAGTACAAATCCCAGCTCTGCTGATGTGGGCTCAGTGGTTTTCTGCAAATTTCCTGAAAGTCTCAATTAGGCATTGTGACGTGTGCCTTTGTGTGCCTGCGTGTGTGTGTGTGTGTGTGTGTGTACACCCAATAAATACAGTTCACTATTTTATGGCAGCATAATCTACTCTTATCTTTGTAAATTTCCTTCAGTAGCACGAATGCATAGCACTTGTGAATCGGGGGCTATTCGCTTTCTGGCAGGCGCATTTACAATATGGCCTCGCTGGCCTTTCTCTTCTCCTAATGAATAGAGGCAGTGCTCAGAGGGAGGGCCACCTAAGGCAAATAGGTCACTCATTCTTCCTCGATGAGCATATTCACACAAAGGATCCTTGGGCTCAGTTCTTAAAAACCGTGAGCAAAGAAGAGAGAGGTTTTGTGGTCTGCTTCCCAGGAGAGTCGCATTTGTCTAAATGGTCCCTATCTAGACTAGGTTGAAGAGCCCCGTAACTTGGGACTGTACCAAGCTCTTTAGAAGAAGGACACACGTGGAGACTGAAATAAAGGCAGGTAGAAACCAGGCCATGGAGCAGCTGAATAAGGAAGACATTTTAGTAAAAGGAGCAAGGAAAATAAAACCTTTATTATGATAAAATAATTGAGGCCTACATCACTGCTTACTTATTTGATTTGATTATGACTATTACAGATGCATGGCTGATTAGATAAAGGTACATCCTAATTTTGTTTCATATGCTTGTGGTTGATGCTATTATTTAAAAAGTATCTATTTGCTGTCACTTTTGACTCTCAGTTCAACAATGATTCATATACTTACTGGTCAAATCTCATTACAAAAACTTAAAGAAATTATTGAATAAATATAGTTGGTATTGACTAAGAGGCCTCTGACTGATTTGGAAATAATTTTGCTATTCAGGACTTTCTATTACACAATTGTTTATGGTAATATGATTTGGTAATAATCGTCTTCAATGTGACCCTGGTTGCCTTATTTTAGGACAATAAGTCTATAACTTGTTTTCATGAGGCTCCTAAGAGTGCCAGCGATTCATTGACTATAAAAGGACTTAGTTTAGAAATCATTGTGGATTAAAGAAATGCAAAGTAATATAGTGAAAAGAATCATATAGAATTGGGTTCAAATGCTGGTCCTCCTTGTTATTAACTGAAGTATGTCAGAACAAGTTACTTAACCACTTAGTCAACTTCCTCTTTTAAAAATGGGCTTAATAATATCTACTTCATGGCTGCACCACAGCAGTTTTGATTAGTTATAAAAAACTCATCAGTCATCAGCATAATCACTTGAAGCCACTCACAAAAGAAGCTCTTGATTCCTTCCTCTGTTTCATAACAAAAAATGTTATATATCTTATAATTCACTATGTCATCAAAATTGTTATACCTACAGACTCTTTCTCTTAAGCAGTAAATATTGAAGAAAGCGGCCCTCACTACCTCTTTAAATTTTTTTTCAGAATAACTCATTTTACCTAAGAATTTTGGCTTTTGTCTCCCTTTTATTATATTAAATGATAACAAAAGGTCAAAATTACTGCATCCAATCATTTGCCTGGATTTACTTCCTACTGTGATATGCAAGGTACTGTATGGAAAGAAGAGGAGGGAGATAAGGACTGGGTTCAGCCCTTCAATAGGCCAGCTAGAACATGCCTATGAAGATGTAATGCGTAGAGATGGTTTTGAATATGACGAGATTACTGATTTCTTTGAAAACTGAAATTAGTAGCTTACACTACATAGCATTTACTCTTCTTTTGGAAGAATGGCGGAGCACCGAGGAAAGTGTTATGTTCCTGAAAGCTGTCCGTGCATCTGGAAAGACTGGGAGTACCTCTCAGGAGAAGTGATTGCTACACCATGTTATACCTGGTAATCAGGTTCATTTATTTGACAAAAAACATCCTAAGCAATTGTATTAGTTTCGACCATCTTATATTTACTTAAGGTGACTGACTTCAACAAAAACAAATCAAGCCTGAGTAAATAAGATTGTAAAGTCATTCATGCATGGATAGAGAGCTACTATCTCTAGGGAATCATACCAGTATTTTTATGTATATTTGTTTCACACATTAGAAAAGTGTAAAATATGACAATTTGAAAATGTAATAAGAAAAAATATCTCAAGTTTATAAGAAAGTGATAAGAATTTCAAAAAGAAGTTCACATTTAATGCAAGGTTTTATTTTTGGAAACAAGCCTAAAGAAAACTATAAAATAAAATTGAAATATAATTTTCTTAAAATGCAGATAAAAATTCTAAGCCCATGAACAAAATCACACCTAATGTATTTAAATAGACTCAAGTATCGAAGATGGCATTGTGGTCTTTTGACTACTAGCATGCCTATGTTCAATTTTTCATTCCACCATCTATTTTCAGTGTAACCCAGGCACAATTTCTGGGATTGCTTGTGGTGTCTGATATTTTATTTAAACAAAGTGGTAAATATATGCCTAATTAGTCAGAATAATGTTATCAGAACAAATTGGCAATATTTATAAGGGCTATTGGCTCAGTGATTGCTCTTGAATGCAAACCTTCCAATGTTTATGCCACTTGAAAAAATTAATTAGAGCCATGTTTCTTACAATGGGTACTTCTGTTATTTTCTAATAGTGTTTGTCGACGAGGAATGTTCAATTGCACATACTATCCATGTCCAGCAGTGTGCACAATATATGGGGATCGGCATTATCATTCTTTTGATGGACTGGAATATGACTATATCGGTGATTGCCAGGTATTTTTGATAAAGGTATGTCACAATTACTTATACTTTTATTTGCAATTATGTAAAGACAATGTAAAAAAACAACTATGCTGGGCCATGGTATATCAAATCCATACGTCATTAATATAATTTATAAAATTAAGCAATTTCAATCTAATTTCCTTGGCTCATTCTAAAGTTTTATTATTTATAAGTGATGAGCCAATTCTGAAACTTTCTGTGCCTGTTTTCTTATTTGTAAGATGAGGATAATAATTGAACCTATTTCCAGGGGTAGTTCTTAGGATTAACTGAACTATGCAACACTTTCAGATAGTGCTTGATATATAGTTACTACACAATAAATATCAACTAATTTATTTTTACTGACTTAATTGGGTGAATACAAATATAAGACATTAAATCATGTATTGGACTATGATTTGTTTATGGTTGCAGCAATCAAAAGGCATTATTCTCAATTCTAGACATGCTATTTTGATAAATTTTGGTAATCCCTAGGTTTTGTATATCTGAAATAATCCTTCAAATTTCTCATATGTTTAATGCATTTGGATTTTCTGTATACCTAAATTTTATTTAGATATCACTGATCAAAGAATTAAACTTCTAAATCCAAAAACTAAGCTTTAGAAAAAAAATTGCACAAAAATAAACAAAATAACAGATTTCCTCCAGCAGAATTACCTGTGATTATTTTGAATGCATGTTTCCCCCCCCCGACTTTCCTGTTATTAGAGGTTTGTGTGTGATACTGTTCTTTAAGCATATGTCGAGAATGTAGACACATTCCCATTTTGTATTAATTCAATTAAATAAGGAAACAAACTAAAATCTATAGCCTTCCAAACTTGAACAAAGCTCCTGCTTATGTTTTAAGCCACTGAATTTCCCTTTTGGTAAAATTCTTGGCTTCCTTTGTGAACAATTTTATGTTTCTTAAAGAGTTAATCCCTGGGAATGGATTTGGCAGTCAGATAATTATAGATGATGACAACTTGCCTAAAGGAGTTTTGTGTTGTTTTGATTGTTTTTGGAGCATAAGGAAGACACCATGATGCATATATATCAATAAGTGTTTGTCCTCTTAGTGAACAATTCTACATTTGAATTTTATCATCCCCTGCAATTTAGGTTGTAAGAGGAGAAGCTTGGGGATGTAGATAACAATTTAGAAATTTAAATACATAAACGGATACCACTTTCTCAAAGTCAGTCAGACTCATTTTGTAGCAAACCCTCATTTCCCTGGATATTTAGGTGCCTCTGACATTCTTTTAAGTGTCTTCCTCCTTTGACCTTCTGGATATTATGCAGTTTGAGCCCTTTAATGTCTCTTCTGGTTTCTTCTTTGTGTCTTTGTTTCCTTTTCTTCTTGCATAAGCCCTGACCCTAGGTGACTGACTTGGATCCTTCAGGGCAAGAACCAAGTCTTAGTCATTGATTCACCAACACAGACCACTGTTGGGGAACATAGTTGTTCAATGAATGTTGACTGAACTGGATGCCTTTTTTTGGCAATCTGTCCCTTTCTCCTAATGCTTGATGTGTTCACCCACAATCTTAACCACCCCTATAGGTTGAAGAGTTCCAAATCAACATGTACAACTCTAACCCTCAACTTCCAGGCTGGCTTTGTGAATCAATTTCAACCCCACAATAACATTTTTTTTCCATTCTGGGGACCTAGGTATGTGCCATAACCAGGAATCAAATCCCTGACCTTCTGGTGCACGGGATGACACTCCAACCAACTGAAACACATTAGCCAGGGCTATATTACACTTCTTTTGGGTTCTCCATAGGAGCGAACACAATTGTGGTGGCATTGTAAAAGCTAAATAATTATCTGTTCAATTTTTTAAGTCTCTACTAGAGGGAGAAACCACAAGCTTACACTTAATTAGTAATCTAATATTTGCTATAAATGGATATACATGCCTTCAACATGAATTATGTAGAGCAGTGCTTTTAAACTTTAGTATTCATGCACATCATCTGAAGATTTTGTAAAATACAGATCCTGAGTCCATGGGTTTGGAGCAGGATCTTGGATCTTGCAATTTTTAGCAAGCTACCACAATGTCCCATGTCCAAGGTCTACTCTTTGAGTAGCAAGGCTGTAGAACACTTTCTTCTTGAAGAAACAGATTTTAATTACTTTTGAAATTTTCTTCTTATTCTGAATACTAACATTTAAGTCACATCTAGGAAAAAGGAAGTATTATTAACAATATCATGTGAAACAACATGTTTCCATTGGACATTTCATTAATGGTAGTTAAAGGTGCTTTTTAAAAAATATCATTGTAAGTAGTAAAACAAAAATTTTGCCAAACTTTATTTTCATTTGTATACAGAAAAATTTGTTTTAAAATATTTACTAAAACTATTTAAAACTGTATTCACATATCACCGTGTTTGCTAACATTTTTCATTTTGTGACAATGATCCATGCTTATTCATTATCATTTCATTTAGTTAACAAATTTTATGGCCTATTTAATGCTAACAAAGACATGCCTAATCTATATACTCTACATTTGAACAGATTTTTCTAAGAAAATTCTACAGTTTTGAAGACAGGGACCATACCTTGCATTTATTTTTTTCTCCCCAAGTAACTTAGCAAAATGCTGGGTGTTTGGTGAACTCTTAATAACTCCTTATTTGATCTGTATGGTCTGCCTGGCTTTTTCTTAATCCCTCATTTGCCTTCACAATAATCGTAGTATTTACCACTGTATTTTCAAATAGTGATTGTTCATAAAGTCCTTTAAGTAAAATACTTGTCTCAACTCTGATTCCTAGAACAATGAAAGTATATCTTTATGTTTGATGCTACCTGATTATAGCAGTCTCTTTTTATTTTTTAATTTTTTAAAGTATTTTTTATTGATTTTTACAGAGAGGAAGGGAAAGGAATAGAGAGTTAGAAACATCGTTGAGAGAGAAACATCGATCAGCTGCCTCCTGCACACCCCCTACTGGGGATATGCCCACAACCAAGGTACATGCCCTTGACCGGAATTGAACCTGGGACCCTTCAGTCCGCAGGCCGATGCTCTATCCACTGACCCAAACCAGTTAGGGCCAAAGTCTCTTTTTATTAATGCTGTAATGTCACAGTACCATTCCATTTAGCAGGCAAGATATACTAAGGTTTGACTTTTTAGGCTTTAGAAACGTGACTTCCTATCATCATTTTAACTTGCCATTATATTCTTCTATTAAAATAAATTTTAAAATAAATACATCATGTTCAACTTCAAATTTTAATAAGGTTTGACCCTGTATGTGAGAAGATATGTCACAAGAAATATTCTTCTAATCTTTCAATAAACAATGAAATTTGAATCTTTAATTTCTGAATTAAAATTTATGTAGTAAATTTAGGGTTCATGCAGTAAGATTAAGATATGAAAAATATTAAAACTATATTTTCAGGTTCTAGAATTATATGTGCCTTTCTGCTTGTCAAGCAGAAGTGTTCTTTTCTTTTTTTAAAATAACATTCTTTAAGAAAGAAAGTATGAAAAGAAATAAAAAATAAAAATAAGTAAAAAAAAGACAGTATGATTACAAACAACAGACTTCAGAACTTAACTTTTAATTTAATTTGGTAATAAAAAACTTACAATTAATAATTAATTAGAATTATACGAGTGAATTATTTATTATATTATGCATAACCCATGGACACAGACAATAGTGTGGTTAAGGCCGGGGTGGGAGGCAGAGGTGGACTAGAAGAGGTCAATGGTGGGAAAAGGGGACTTATGTAATACTTTTAACAATAAAGATTTAATTAAAAAAGAAAAAAAAAAGAAAAACACCAACTCCAATCCTTTGGATGGGGGATTCACTGTGATCTTTCTCCCAGGAACATGCCCGTGCCTTTCCCTTTCTTTTCCTTTCCTCTTATGCTTTTTCAGTGGCAAGAGTCATTTCTGTGAGTAGCAGATTTAATTATTTCTTATCAAGCAGCTCTCTTTCCTCCTTGTCATGATTACAGGTTCCAGGCTTTATCTTTGTTATTTGTAATACATATTTATCTGGTAACACTTATCATTTATTTCTTTGGACCCTGAGGACAGTTGGACTTTTAAAAATTAATACTTTCTCATCCCGGCTGGTGTGGCTCAGTGATTGATCATTGACCCATGAACCAGGAGGTCATGGTTTGATTCCCAGTCAGGGTATAGGCCAGGGTTGTGGGCTCAATCCGCAGTAGGGGATGTGCAGGAGGCAGCCGATCCATGATTCTCTCTCATGATCAATGTTTCTATCTCCCTTTCCCTTTCTCTTCCTCTCTCTGAAATCAATAAAAACATATTTAAATTTAAAAAGAATTAATACTTTTCCAACTTTATTTTATAAGTATAATGTTATTTTACCCTCACATTTAAAGAGATATTAAGTAATTTTTTAAAAAATCTCACAACTCTCCAGTTTTAAATGTAACCTAGTTCTAGGTACTGAATAAGTGCTTATCATATCCTGGTTGGTGCCTGTTAATCCTTAAAAAAAATAATTAGGTTCTCTGATACTTTATTCATTTTGGAGGCTGTTTACCCTTTACTATAAATATATTGCATAGGAAATATAGCGCATTATTTTAAAGTGTGTTTTCCTAAGTTTTCTAATTTAGGAAAAAGGGTTGTAATTGTGCTTCCTGAGTTAAGACTTGTTTAAGAGAAAAAAAGAGATGTGAAACCAAACAGTACCTTGAGGTGTGCTAAAATCTCAAGAGAGAGCACTGATGATCTTCAACAAAATTGAGAAATATAATATTCAACTCCTAAATTCAGAGCCAACGTCTACTTCCTTTAGTCTGTGGCAAACCCCATCACTGCTAGGGTTTTTCTTATCATTTGTTCTAGATTAGGTTTTTCAACATTCTCTTCAGGTGGTATCTCAAAAGGTCAGTGCTTTCGTTAAGCCTCTGAAAACCCTCCTAATTTCATTGCTCTCAAATCCTTTGCATCATTTTCACATCAATATATCTTACGTGATTTATATGTGTCAGACTCTATAATGAGAAGTGGATGTACAATGATCAGCAAAAAAAAAGATATGGGTCTTTCCTACTGTGAATCTTAGGCTGGTGGGGGAGAGTTATTATTCACCTAATCACAAAACTCATAAAAAATGCAACTGTAAAAGTCAACAATAACTTAAATGCAAATCCAACAAAACTTTGTTTAATGTTTATCTTCTCTGTTCCTGAAATGATTCTTAAAGTGGTTTGTCTTCCAGGTGTATGTTTGTTTGCAAATTTGGGAGTTTCCCAGCTGAAATCTAAAACTGGCCCCTGTACACAGAGGGCCAGGAGAGACCGAAGAAAGAGGCAGACTACTCCAGATGGGTAGGAGGCAGTTTTAGTGAGCAATGGAGCTTGCATATGAGGCCTGCTTTGGGCAGCAGTGAGACAAGTAGCTCTCCACACTTTCCTGTCAGAATCTTAATAGTAAGTTTATGGAGAGGCCTTACTTGACTTCAGTCACTTATACCATCAAAGGTCTCCACAGCACATTGATCTCTCAAGGCTGTGTCCTTGAAAATGGCTCCCACTGTGGGAATGGTGGGCAGATCTTACATTCCAAAGACAGGGAGGGTTAAGGAGACTCTAATTGTCTGGATTCAGCGCTTGGATAAACTCATCAAATCCTCTCAATGACCACCTTTCACAGTGCAGTTTTTACTTATATTGTTTGCATGGCAACATGTGACGACAAAGGGATCAAAGGCAGACAATAACTTGGGCCTTTAGTGATTGTCTATATAACAGTAGATATTTTCAACCCAAATCAGTTCTTTATAGTTTTCTAAGCATTTTTATATCAGGAAAATCAGAAATTTTAAAAAGTAAATTAAATGATACAATCTAAAATATACTACCCTCCAATTCTGATACATTAATGTTTCCAAAGCTGAAATGGAAGTGGATCTTAAATTTTATTTAATTTTTAGAATTATATGAACACTATTTTGTAGAAGGCTTTTGCATATTTTAAAAATCTATTTGAATAAGAAGATGAAAATCTTGGAGTTTATTGAATTAATTCTTTAAGTGCCCTTTCAGGAAATCAGTGTTTAAATAATTTTCTACTGTGTTCATATAAGCTAACTCTTAAATATTATATCCTTATTGGAAGTTTCAGGCAAGATAGTTGTGATCTTTTATTTATAAGATTCATCTCCATTATTAGTATTTGATATTAAGGTTCAGTATTTACTTTGCATTGTAGTAATCTACATACTTTGATAATAGACTCCATGTATCAAGACTTCCTAAAACATTTCAGTAGTAATTTAGCATAAGTTTTCTAGTAATTTATTTAACTTTTTATAATAATTACATATTTAAGTCTACACTCTATGCCTTTATGCTAGGTGCCGTTAAGGGTACAATTATGTAGACATTAGCCTTACCCTCTATTGTTTTACATTTGGGGAGTCATTATTAAACAAGAAACAAGAAGGCTGGGCCAAATGAAAGCTCTGTTGTGGAGATATAACTGATTTTGACTAGAGAATCAGTTAACAGCGAAGTTTCATGGAAGCAGGAGGCTTAGTACTGGTGTATTTCACCCAATTATAACACTTCTTTATCAATGATTTTCAAGTAGATTTCCTTTGCAGTGAAAGCACCTGAGGGTGGTATTTCTTGGAAGTGACATTTAGCTAAGAGTTTGCTATTTCAGGAAACAAACAATAGGGAGTGGGTGCTGTGGTGATTTGGGTGTAAAACCCAGAGGGAAATAACATCCTTGAACAGGGCCGTGTGCCTCACAAAGGAGACACCTGCAGGGTGGTTATGCCCCCCCGCAGCCGGGATTCACGGGTGCGCTGATGTCATTGCTGCAGCTTGGACCATCTCTCTGTGAAGGCTCTGCTTCCGCTTACTCAGGCTTGCTTGTGTAACTCTTCTATATTTTGTTTCTATCTTTTTTTTAAAAAAATATTGTTATTGATTTCAGAGAGAGGAAGGGCGAGGGAGAGAGAGATAGAAACATCAATGATGAGAGAGAATCATTAACCGGCTGCATCGTGCACGCCCCCTACTGGGGATTGAGCCTGCCACCTGGACATGTGCCCTTGACCAGAATCGAACCTGGGACCCTTCAGTCGCAGGCTGACGCTCTATCCACTGAGCCAAACCGGCTAGGGCTTGTCTCCATCTTTGCTTCAGTTCAATCACTGTTTTGTTTCCTTCATGTCCTAAGCTTGCTCTCACCTGTTCAGCTCCCACTCCACCTTTATTCTCTCTAAGTCTATTCACCCTCAGATCTTACTATACAAAAATTTTCTAAGTCACTATTTTCTTGTTGAAATGGGAGAGATAATCTAGTTGGATAGGGTTGTGTTTTTTCTTGTCAGCATTAAAGTCCATTGACCCATGAGTGAATGTATTGCTTTGGGTCCAAGCAGCTGTGGAACATAAACATGGCTGCCTGTGGCTACTGTATCAACAGAGACTTTGTGTGGGGTACTCTTTATTAAAAATATATATTTTTACTGATTTTTAGAGAGAGAGTAAGATCGATGCAAGAACAAGGCATCGATAAGCTGCCTCCTGCATACCCCCCACCGGTGATGGAGCCCGCAGCCCAGGTACGACGCCCAGGGTATGGGGTAGTTACTCTTAAAAGGTTAAGACTGAGATGTCAAGTAAACTAATATACTATCTTGAGAAGTGCTGACATTTTATGTTTTGGAATCACTTGGAAGAATATTCTCTATGTTTTCAGTACCTGAGCATAAAGAGTTTGAGGAATCCATGTGGCACATTGATGTTGACTTTTTTCCCCTCTAGCTTTGTAATCACACTCACTATGTTGCTTAGCAACTCTGCAGCATTATCTTCAAACCGAATGTAACTTGAAATACATGAGAAATGGAAATTGGAGAAATGTGATTCTTAGGAAGTGATATTATTTCAAGTTACTGTCAACATAACATGCTATTACAAGACCATACAATACAGAATGCTTCTTGGCTTTTTTGAGTTAATAACAAAAGCACAGCGAACATTGAGTCACTTTAATTATTAGTAATAGAAATGTGATGGCCATAGAAAGCCTTTCAGCCAGCTTTTCACATCCTTTATCTAAGTCGTCCCAAGAAGAAGAACAAAACCAAACCCTAAATTACATATTATTTTTGTTCTTTGAAAATTGTTCATAAAGGCAAAAAAGTGTGGCATTATTTTTTTTTAGTAATACAACGCCATTATCATTTTATTCCCCTTTTCAAAATTTAGGCAATGCTTTGCAAAAGGATTACTAGGAATCGAGAGCTCTTAGTGCTAAGAAGGAAGGAAAAATGGGGCAGAGAGGGAAATATCAGTTACTCTGTCAGCAACATTGATTGAAAGCCTGTCCTCTAGGCACAATGCTACAGTAATTACTAGTGAGACAGGAAGAATTTAGAAAAACCGAGAGATATATTAAGCTAATGTTCGTATTGCTGGCGATATGAAAAACTAAGTGTGAAGAATTTGCATCAAGACCTATGTGATTTCCAAACATTTAAAGACTTTTCTCACTTTGAAAATAAACACTGACCCAAATGTCTAAATATGACAAGGATTCATGTGTGTGAGTCCTTGAAAAGTGGATATTGAGTCCAGAGAAATATCACTTTTTTTTTTCTGATGAAATTTCCAGTGTCCTTAAGTTAGAGCAGTGTGGCTTTTAACTTTTGAGGGATAAGGACCACTTCAAAAATTTGATTGAAACCATGGGTTTTCTTCCTAGAAAAATATAGATATTTAAAAACAACATTTTGCAGAGTTTTCAGGGTCTGTAAAACTATAGGAGCATCCATGAAACTGAGATACAAAATTAAAACCCTGATTCTAGAGGGCATGTTCTTAGTGGATGTAGTGGGAAGTGGCCAAAAAAAAAAAAAAAAAAAGGGGGGGGGGAAGGGGGGGAAAATCACATAATCTTGGGAACGAGAGGTAAGGGGGTTAAATTTAGAGTGTCTGGGGCTAAATACTCTCAAACTAAGGATTTCCTATCACCTACTTTTCTCTTTTCTCTTTAACCACTATTAGACTCTTGCTAATTTCTCTACAAGTTGCATAAAAAAATTAGAACCCTGGCTGGTGTGGCTCAGTTGGTTGGAGCATCATCCTGTACACCAAACGGTTGTGGGTTTGATTCCAGGTCAGGGCACATACCTAGGTTGTGGGTTCAATCCCCAGTCAGGGTGCATATAGGAGGCAGCTAATAGATGTTTTTTTCTCTCTCTCTCAAAATCAATTAAAAAAATTAAAACTCTGTCTCTGCCTTTATTTAGCTTATTAACCTTGGACAATCAGTTAATCCTTCTTAACCTCTGTTTCCTAATCTGTAAAATGGAGATAATACTTAATTCAAAAAGTACCATAAAATTAAGTGAGATAACATATATAAAGCTCAAAGGAATCCCTCAAATGATATGCATTATCTTATTTACTAACGTGTTCCAAGATTTTGTATCTATTTCAGGGTTCACTTGTAGGCATATAATTATTTAGTCAGAAAATTCCTAAAGATAAGACAAAAGTGTTGCCTAAAATGAATTTTTGTAAAAATTCCCCTAAATAACATGTGTTTTGGCTTATTTATTGGAAATGAAGTGGTTAATACATTTGAGTTAATATTATTATAAGATGGAAAAAGCTTTGCTAGAAAAAAATTAACAGAAGATATTAGAGATAAATGTTTAAACATTAAGCTATCTTGGTATATTTTTCATATTATTAGATCAAAATGAACTTTATTTTAGAGGTAAGTTGTATTTCAGTTTCAACACATACCACACTACATCTTGGTCTTTAAGATTTGTTAATGAAAATAGCAAAAAATGATGTATAATATACAATTGTATTAATATAATATTATTGACATTGCAGAGTGAAGATGAAGCAGATATATCTGTCATTGCCCAGAACAAGAAATGCTTTGACAACGATATTGTATGTTCTAAAAGTGTTTTGATTTCAGTTGGGGACACTGAAATTTACCTGAATGATACTCCTGACAAAGAGGTTAGTGAATTATTTCTTTTAGGATCATTACAACTTGTACTAAGGATACTGAAAATAAAATATAAACAATTAGGCTACTTTTTCCCTGTAAATGGTTACTAGATTTTGAATTTTCTTGGCTATTTTTATGTGGCTACAGTAAGTCATACTTGACTTTGTCTCTTTTGGTTACACTCTAATTCCCCATATTCTAATTCTTTTATCTTTTCTTCATTCCCATGGTTATCACTCTGGCTTAGCAACAGTCACCTATACCTAGAGTACTTCAACATGTTCCCCACTAAACTCCCGATGGCCTCTAATCGATCCTGCCACACTGCAGTCAGGGTGGTTTTCCTAAAATGGAAATCTAATCTGTCACTCCAGTGCTTCAAAACTTTAAGTGACTTCCATTTCCTTACAAATCCAATTTTCACCCATAACCTATCTGACCACTGCCACCTCTCCTTACCTACTTCTCATCACTTTCTGCTTCTGGCCCAGGTTCCAGAAGGTGGGGCTTTTATCAGTTCTCCAAGGGCTCTGTGTGCTTCTCTCACTTCTGTTTCTTCCTAACTATCATTGCTCATACCTGGAACAACCTTCAACCTTTCCATTAACTTATTCTTATGTGACAGGTCTCATTTTGTCTCTTTCAGGATCTCCTCTTCATGTATCCTACTTTAGTGAAATTAGGAGTGTAGTTGTCTGTCTTCTCTATTTGTCTATGAGTTATGTGAGAACTGGAACCACTGTCACCCTGTTCATTCTTGCATTCTGGAGCCTGCCCAGTTTGAAAGAATGAATACATTTCATTCATTCATTCATTCATGCTTATGTCTACTATATATCAAAATCTGTGTTAATTATTGAGATTGAAACAGTGAAAAGTCACTATGCTTTCACTGTTAAGGATATTTTCTTAGGTGAGGAATATATTCAACTAAGTAAGGATGTGTAGTGTGATGTGTTATGCATGGCATGAATATGTACAGGATAGTATGGGAACCCCTGGGAAAAAGACCTAAACCAACCTCGGGTGTTTAGGGTAGGTGTTAAGAGCATAGACTCTGAAGTTAGTCAGTACTCAACTTGGAATCCCTACTCTATCACCTGCTAGCTGTGTCACTCTGGGCAAACTGTAGCTCTTCCATTTGTAAATTTGGGGTGATTCTACTTCTTAAGTTCATGTGAAGATTAAACTAAATAATGAATTTCAAGAAATGGCTCCTCTCCTCTTCTTTATCCTCCTTTATTTTTGAAGACTCAGAGACATGTTCTGGATGTAATGATTTGAACTGCGTCTTAAAGGATGAGCAGGTATTAGCCAGGTAAAGAGAGAGAGTAGGAAGGCAATCAATATAGAAGAAAGAACCAGAGTTGAAGGATAAAATGGCATGTTTAAAGAACTCCAAGTGGTTACGTTTAGTTGAAGTGTTTGGGGACACTGGAGGGAGGGTATGGCAAAGGGACTCAGGGAGAAGTATCCAGATTGACTTTAATGCAGGGGCCATGAGGACAGGGGCAGTAGACAAAGAGGCTGGTTCCAGATCATGGAAGGTCTCGAATGGTGTAAGACATTTGAACTTATTTTATAAGTAAGAAATTTTGGAGTAGAGAAATGACATGATTGGACATATGGACCTTAAAAAGTATCCTCTGAGATTTTAGAACAGTGTTTCTCAAAGTTTGGCCTACAAAATTTCTGCATCTAAAATATCTATATATATAAAAGCCTAAGCTACTGAACGACTGTTCGACTGTTTGACCGGCAGCTATGACACATAATGACCACCAGGGGGCAGACGCTCAATGCACAGGCATGAAACCATGGAGCAGACTAATGAATCTCAGAGGGAAGCAGGGAGGGGGGAGGGCGGGAAGAGATTAACCAAAGATCTTACATGCATACTAGAGGCCCGGTGCATGGATTCATGCACTGGTGGGGTCCTTCGTCCTGGCCTGTGGGGATCGGGCCAAATTTGTGCACCGGGCCTCTGACATCCCCTGAGGGGTCCCGGATTGCGAGAGGGCACAGGCCAGGCTGAGGGACCCCACTGGTACACCAATCTGTTCACTGGGCCTCTAGTTTATTAGAAAAGGGGGTTCCTGGGTTCACCTTGGTAATGAGAATGGTTGAGGTTGAGAATGAAAATCTATTTTTAATGGTGCCCCAAATTGTTTTGCATACCTAAGTTTGAGAACCAGTGCCCTAGAACAGGGATGGGGAACATCTGGCTTGTGGACCATATAAGGCCCTCAAAATCATTCGGTCTGACTCTGCTAAGGCATTAGGGGTGAGTTATTTAAATATTTGACCAAATATAGCAGGTTAATTTCTAAGTGATAATTTTGTATGGCCCATGAATGATGTTATAAATATCTAAATGGCCCTTGGCAGAAAAAGGTTCCCCACCCCTCCCCTAGAACATAGCTTACATCTCAGTCAGAAACATTGAGACATTGAGACCAGCCAGGCAGCTCTCAAGCTTTGGACAAAACAGAGTTTCTATAATCATGTTGACATCCTTTTGTAGTAATTACTACAGTTTGCTATAACCATCAACTAGATATTCATTTATAGATGAAGGTTCTCTCTAAGAACAAGGATGTGTTTAAAAAAAAAAAAGAAACCTTAAGAGAAAATAATGCTTTTATAAAGACAGTTTAACACATTTTTGAAGTGGTAATTACAGCTCTGTGTAATTTTCAAATCCAATTTTCACCCATAGGCAGGTGATGAGGAAAGGTCATAAAGATAATTTGACCATAAAAAATCCCCCACTAATATTGTTCTCGAACATCAAAAGTGAAAATAAGTACCATTTACTTTAAGGCAAATGAATTGCTCATCTAGCCAAAGAAAATAAACCTCTTTTTATTCCCCAATAAATGCTCATTTCTACTTTTATTAAAAACTAGAGGCCTGATGCACGAAATTCATGCAAGAGTAGGCCTTCCTTCTGGCTGCCGGCACCAGCTTCCCTCTGGCACCCGGGTCACAGGCTGACTTCCCTCTGGACACCTGCAGGCACCCAGGACCCAGGCTGGCTTCCCTCCAGCTCCAGCTTTGTCTGGAATGACGTCCAGAAGGACGTCCGGTCTAATTAGCATATTACCCTTTTATTATTATAGATGTAAGATATAAACTTTTTATAAATTTAACCTGTAGTTTAAAAGTTGTAATTCTTCACATTCATTTTATATTTATTTTTACTTTCTAATTGACCTTAGAGAGAGCAAGAAAGAGAGAGAGTGGGAGAGAGAAACATCAATCAGTTGCTTCTCATACTTTCCCTGACCGAGGATGGAACCTACCACCTTTTGGCATACAGGACAATGCTTCAACCAAGTGAGCCACACCAGCCAGGGTTAATTCTTTACATTTATAACATCACTAGAGTTAGTGTAAAGTGCTGTGATTCTCACCTAAAGTGGAGTTCTCTATTTTGGGCAATTCATAATACCATGCTCTCTGAGAAGCATTCTTCCTTTCTAATCTGAAACAAAAGGAATATGCATCTCCTTTTGATCAGAGACGATTGTTGTGTGGTAGTAACCTGTCCTGTCTAATAAAAACTGTCCTGCAGGCAAATAGAGAAGATGTACTTTTACATCAGGATAATTAATGCAGAACCAACCTGAAGGAAGTCTAATAAGTTGCCTTATCCAAAAATTCATTTTATGTTCTAATGATATGTCAGTCAGTCAAGGAACTTTAATAGGAAAATTTTCAGAAGCGTATCTCATGATTGAAATGGAGCCATAAGCCACATTAGATGCTTTACTTGTTGCTGATCAGGCTGGAAGGTGAGAGCCATGAACAGGCCAATACAGGAAGGTGCTAAAAATTAATGAATCAGGGCTTGATCTAGAACCTGAAGATACTGCCATGAGTTGACAAAGTACATTTTTCAAGGAGCTGACAATCAACTGAGGGGAAGACAGATACTAAAACTGCAAACAAATCAGTAGCAGAAAGGTACTGAAAAGTGTAATCAAAACAATAGAAATAGGTTTATGGCAGAGATTGACTGGGGGCCAGGGCAGGCTACACATTTTATGAGCCTAATGAAAAATGAAAATGCGGGCCCATTGTCAAAACAGGAACATGTTTTCCTTTCTCTTGTAGTTTTCCCTTGACCTATCATGGTATTTTTCCCCTCTATTATTCATCAAGAGGCCTGGTGCATGGATTCGTGCATTGGTGGGGTCCCTCAGCTTGGCCTGAGCCCTCTCGCAATCTGGGATCCCCCAAGGGGTGTAGTAGTGTGCGAAGCGGCAGGTGGCCTGGGAGGAGCCTGAGCCCAAGCTAGGCGCTGTGTCAACCCACTCATCCTGGCCCCGCTGTGCCTGCCACCACCACTAGGTAGCGCTGCCATGGAGAGAGGCTTGTGCCTCCATAGCTGCACTTGCCAGCCATGAGCCCAGTATCTGGCATCCATCGATCAGCTGAGTGGCGCTCCCACTGTGGGAGTGCACTGACCACCAGCGGGTAGCTCCTGCATTGAGCGTCTGCCCCCTGGTGGTCAGTGTGCATCATAGCGTCCAGTCAAACGGTCATTCGGTTGTTTGGTCACTTAGGCTTTTATATATATAGATGTATATATAGATGCCTTTCTCACTTGGGCACAAGGATACTCCCAGGTTGAGTTCAGACCCTCAGAGCCACCCAGGGCCTTGCCCCTAACTTCAGCTTGGCACTTGGGAGTAGAAAGAAATGAGGTTAGGTAAAATCCATTAACAATATGTAGGTTACACAGTATCTACTGTTATATCCAATACACTGAACACTTATAAGTATGAGTTTCATCTAAGAGACTGAAAACTCTTATGGATATGATTAAGTTTATTTAATCTGTCCTATGGAATATTTATAAGTGTTTACCATGGTGTAGTATTTCTAAAGTATGCTTTTGTTATTACTTGGGGGTGAGAATAATAAATAACCAAAAGATTGCATATCTCCTTCATAATTTTTATTTTGCTCTGGAAATATTTGTCTTACTTAATTTGATGTAACAATGTAATTTTGAAATTATTAGATGAGTTATTTTCAGTGTCAGATTCAATGTAATCTTTTATAGGGAATAGACCCTGTTCATAAAGATCACTGTATATTCTCACTAGACTTGCAGTGGTTCTCAACCTTCCTAATGCCGCGACCCTTTAATACAGTTCCTCATGTTGCAGTGACCCCCAACCATAAAATTATTTTCATTGCTACTTCATAACTCTAATTTTGCTACTGTTATGAATTGTAATGTAAATATCTGATATGCAGGATGTATTTTCATTGTTCGCGACCCACAGGTTGAGAACCTCTGCAGAGGCTAAGGGCACTAAATTTTCCCAATGTGTTCCATCTCTAGGTTCTTCCTACTGTTATCCTTCCTAACATAAAACTTATTTTCTTTTAATATGCAAATATGATCTGTCACTTTCCTCTTCAAAAGCCTCTATTCAGTACAATTTGTCCATGGAATAACAGCCCTTGTCCTATGGGAAATGAGGCTGCAAAGGGTCTCAGGTTACACTTGTCCCAGAATCCATGCTCTATCCTTTGGTGCTCTCCTTAGTCCTGACCAAATCTTGAACTTCCCTGCCTCTAAGTCCCTATTCAGGTGATTTCTTTGGCTTGGAATAATTTCTTTCTGCATTCTCATTTCTGGCCCTCTGTAATTTCTATGTATGGCCTCTTGCAGATCAGTTCGTAATCCACCCCTTGCAAGAAGCCTTCCTCAGTCCCCATTTTCTCTTTCTCACTCTTTCATATTTGTGTGTGTGTGTACATATACATACACACACTTTATGCTTTTATTTTCCAATTATGTATGTTTGTAGGTAAAGTAATATACTTTTAGCACTCAGTCATATTTATTCATCGTCAATATAGAATTTCTGAGTCAGTTGGTATATTGTCTTAATTTATTCTATGTCCATGCTCTTGGTCATGCTTTTTTCTATAACTGAAATACCTTTTCCTTTTGGCTCATTTATCCATGTTGAACCCATTCAGCAGTTTGTGTCTCATAACCAATTTTATGTGTTTCCTATTTTATGCATTTGTTTTGTCTTTTACTATAGAATTCAGAAAGAAGGGATGAGCAAAAATACTAGTATATAGATACTTATTAGTAAATAGTAATTTAATGTTTACATTTTGAGAACAATGAATTTACTTTTTTAAAATCATTATTATTATTTCTAAAGAAACGATCAGGTTTTTTTCTGGAAAATGAACCTACATACCAGCTTTGGAAGGCAGGTTACTACATGGTGGTATACTTTCCAGACAAAGATATCACTATTCTTTGGGATAAAAAGACAACCATTCATATCAAAATTGGACCGCAGTGGAAGGTAGGTCAACCTACTTGGTAGGTAAATCCAAATGAGATGCAAAATATGAAATTATATGCACCTTTTAATGTTTTGTGGAAATAAAATGATTAATGTATTTTTTTAAAGAAATGGGTTATATTTTTAGAATTACTAACTCATATTTCAGTGAAGAACCACTTTACCAACTAAAGTATATTGTTGTATACAGTTCTTTTTGTCTTTAACCTTACAGTATCCAGTTTTCCAAAACTACTTAGGTCAGCTTCTTTCTTCCCACCCCCTTCAGCATGGTTTTGTGATATGTTTGTAATACAGTTTGATTCATTAGTTACAATCTGCACTCCATCTTTCCCTCCATATTCTGGATCTATTTTTAAATTTATATATAGTTAAATTATTTTTAAAAAGTAAAAAAAAAACTACTCTTATGATTTACAATCGTACAGATTTTAACAAACAACTGGGGTTATGTATCTACCACCACAGTCTTATATAAAGCAAATCCATCAACTCCAAAATTTCTCCCAGGTTGGCTCTTTACTGCCAACTCCTACCTCTATTCCCTAAGCTTTGGCCACCACTGATCTATTTTCCATTCCTAGAGTTTTGCTTTTTCTGGATATAATGTAATATAAATGAAATAATGCAATCTGTAATCTTTTGGGTCTGGCTTCTTTGATTTGACAAAATACATTTAAGATTCATTTATATTGTTGAATGAATTAATAGTTTGTTCCTTTAGTCTACTGAGTAGTATTCTGTTGTATAGATGTACCTGTTTGTTTTATCCATTCATGATTTACTATTCAATCTTGGATGCTTACCATTTTGGTAATTATATTTAAGTTGTTTTAAACATTGTCTTCTATTACATATTTTATTAAACATTATTAAATGTTTATTATTTTAAATATTTAAAATTTTATTTAAGTAGTTTAAATTTATATATTGTTTTTTGACATATTGATGTATTTATAAGAATTCAGATTATCTGAAATTGAAATTGAGACATGGATATAATTTGTGGTAAATACGGAAAAAATGGTAACAACATATCCTCATAAAACTATAAAAAATATACATATTTAAAAATATTTCAATATGTTGTAAATTTAAGATATGATTGTACATTGAAGTCATTTTTTTTTCTTAAGTGAGAGAAAGCCCCCAAATCTATTCCTTGGTGTTTGCTGGTTTCTTGCATTTCTTTAATGAAGTTGACATAATTTCATAATGGTCATATGTCTTTAACTATTTTCCTCTGCCATTTTTCATCATGTATCCTCCTTTCCCTACTTCCTGGAAACAAATTAACCATTTTGTTTTCTCCTCCCCCC